ACAGGAAGTCAAAACCTCCCTTGAAAGTATTAAAAGCAGACTAGATCATACAGAGAATTGAATCTTAGGTATAGAAGATAGAATCACTGGCTTAGAAAAATCTCACCAAGACTGAGAAAATTGCCCCCCCAAATGAGAATAATATACGAGAAATACTAAATACCATCAAACATCCAAACATCCAGATAATTGGTATCCCAGAAGGCCAAGAGACTCATAAGGACATTGATAATCTATTCCATGAAATCCTGGAAGAAACCTTTCCAAGGAAAGAATGGGAAAATATATTCAAAGTGTTAAGAGAAAAGCAATTTCAGCCAAGAATACAGTACCTGGCAAGATTATCTTTCATGTGGGAAGAAAAGACAAGAACATTCTCAGATAAACAAAACCTGAAAGAATTTGTCAACACCAGACCAGATCTCCAAGAAGTTCTCAATGGAGTGCTATACCAGGAAAATTAAATATAGACACACAGAAATAAGAGTTCAAAAACTAAGAAAATGGCCAACTTAATGATAGGGTCAAGTCTGGAGTTGAATCTTATATCCCAGAATTTAATTGGGAAGATTGAACCACAACAGAAGATAGATTAAATACATGAGACTGAACTGGTGGATTAACATTTTATGACTTTTGACTAAAACATTGCTGCTTTTCTTCTAGGCTTTGTTTTCTGGTTTTAAGGATTTTTGTCCTGTCTTGAGCTACCAGTAGGTTCATGTACCTACTGTTTGAAGAGAATTCTAACCTGTTTCCTGGCTTTACGTTTTAAGCAAAATTCTTTAGCACTTCTTTGATTAATTAAAGCTAAAACTGCTTTTCTTGAAATTAAAAAATAAATAAAAAAATACCTATTTAATGATTATAGTAAGCTATATAACATCATTCTACTCAGAGTTTCATGCCTAAAGTCAGACATGTATTTACAGATATGCATATACCAACTGAACTTGCTATTGAAAGTAGTTAGATTATTTAACAAGCTTCGTGAATCAATAAAATGTGGGGAAAAAAGGGATGGAAAACAACTGTAGACATCTGAGGTGGTTTGCGAGGAGGGTGGGAAATGGCAGAGGGTAAGAAATAGGGGGAAATGTATATATGTGTGTGTGTGTGTATACACGAAACTAGAAGTGGAAAATTATTGATAATATGTATGATTAAGCCACTATGCAGTATATTCTGGATGGAAAATTGTATTTTGTATGTTGTGACAATGCTCAGTGAATGAATGTTAGTTAATAATTAACATTCATTAAAAATTCATAATTAACATTCATTTAATTTATAATTAAAAAAATAGTAAAAAAAAGAAAGAAAGAGACTGAAATGCAAACCCTTGGGTGGTTAGAAGGCTAATTAAGCTTCCACCTGCCCAAGGACAGTCACCACGGGCAACACGGTGCCTCCCACAGTGGTGTAGCCCTGGAATGCCCCACAGCTGACGGCTGTTAGTCTACAGAGTCCGGAGGGAGTAAGGAGCCCAGGCATCCTTCAGACCTCTTCTCTGTCTTCTTCCCAGAGGTTTTGTGGCCATGTGGAACGAGGCCACCGCCAGCAACTGCAGCCGTGATGAGAGTCCAGTTCTTCATTTCCACGAAAGGCAAGTTGAGTGGGGGAAGAGACGGCGGGGCAGGATGGCAAGGTGAGTGGGGGAAGAGACGGCGGGGCCGGGTAACACCTTTGCCTGTGGTTCTTCCGACGCACTTCCCGCCGGTTCAGGTACCTCTGCGGCGAGTCCGCCAGGGGCGCTGCGCTGTTCACAGTGGCAGTCGCGTCTACATGCCCAGGACCGATCATCCCAGATTTCAGAGGGGATGAATGCGGCCCACGAGGAGCTCGAGCGGCTCTCTGCGAGGGGAACCTGCCTCTGCCTTGGCCTCTTGGGAGTCCTTCCCAGACTTCTCACTGCCATCTGAATTGTGCTGAAGCTCTGGCCAGCGAGACGGGAGCAGGGCTGCTCAGACTCACGCGAGCTGTCTACTCCTCACTGCTCCGACACCCGCACTGCCCATTCTAGACGTTTCTTTTTTTTTTTTTTTTTTTTTTGCTATAGGGTGTGTGCGCTCGCCAGACAGACAGAGACAGAAAGTGAGAAATCACCCCCCAGGGAGTATGGCCACACCGCAATCCCTTCTCCTCCATTCTCCTCTCAGGATCTTGGGCACGCACGCACACACCCGGTGTGAGTTTAAGCCACCGGGTCCGGGACTCGAACCATGGTTGACTATGTGGGAGTCCAGTGACATAGCCATTATGCTCACTGCTGGTCCCCCCATTCTAGACATTTTCAAGCTCAGCTCTGTAATCTGTCGCAGATCTCCAAACCAGATCTGTGTGTTTTACATTTGATTTTTCACAAAAGAAGTAATTAAAGAAACACACATGGGAGACAGGAGTTGGTGGGAGCAGCACTGGCTTGGCGTCCAGCCAGGCAGCCTGTGGCTAGAAACCTTTCAGGGCATGGAGTGGGCCGGGCGGGGCAGCTGTGACCCGCGGGTCAGCAGTGAAGAGGTTTTTAAACCTAACTGGAGAAAGAGCTGGTCCGCCGTGAGAACACGTGGTGCTCCAGGAAGCTGGCGTCCAAGCCATTCCTCCATCCGGGGCTGACCTGGGCCAGGGTCTTCCCTCCATGCTCCCTCAGCCTCCTCTGCCCACAGCCCCTGCCTGTTCAGCTGACATGGAGCCTTTCTGCGGGTGGGAGCTGGCCACTAGAGGGCACTGTGAGAGCAGGTCTCCAGGCCTGCTGGGCACCACCCTGCAGCAGGGATGCAGCACCAGTGGGGGCGGGGAGGAATGACTGCCTGCCAAGGGTGGTGTTGGCCCTGCGGGGCACAGGGAGGCTTTGTGACTCATGTGTGGTCTCACGGAGGGGTGGACAGCCATAGCTTTGGAAGAGGAGGGGCTGAAACCAGAGGCAGCATGGGTCCCACAGCAACGGGCCCTGGTCAGGTGAGCACGAAGACGTGAGGAATGTGCAGTGTCCGGCAAGTGGGATGAGCCAGCTGACCCCAGTCTGGGAGAGCGATGGCCTCCATCCGCCAGGCCCCGGGCAGAGCTGACGAGGCGGACTCCTGTTTCAGTAGGCATCAACTTACGGCTTGGGGAGGGCAGCGGGGAGGAGGGCAGACAGGGAGCTTAGCCGCGGGAGCTGTGGGCAGCGGAGGCGGGTGACTGGGGAAGTCCCGCTCATCCGTGGTGGACCTGGCCACTCCAGCAGCAAGGTGTTCTGGGAGAGGTCTACTGAGTTCGGAGATGTGACTTGGTTGTGAAGCTGTGGCCCCGGCAGGAGCTGACTGGCCCGGGAGGGGAGCAGAGCGGGCCTCCCAGCTCGAGTGTATCACAGAGAGGGGTGAGCCCTGTCACCCAGCTGGTGGCCCTGGAATTCTGGGAGGATAGCTGAGGGCCAGGCTCAGAGCCAGGCACCAGGGCAGCCATGGGCTGCTGGGGCATCAGACAGGGCCCTCCTTCGCCCAAGATCACGAGGGGGCTTGGGTACCTCCAGGGGCCACGAACGTCCTGGAAGCTGATGCTCAGGCCCGGGCCTCTCCGAGCTATTTCAGGTGTTTATGGTCTGAGGTAGGGGCGTGGAAATCGGAACCTCAGTGAGGGACAGGCACGCTGTGGCCTGGGATACAACACCAATATTTAGGAAGGTTCCCAGGACAGAGGCCACGCCACCCTCCCGTGAGGGAGTGGACATGGAGTGCTAGGCAGGCAGGCTGGAGGGAACTGGAATTTCCAGGTTCGAATTTCCTGGAGTCTCTGCCTCCAGGCTCTCACAGGCATGGTCACCTTCCACACTGCTGCCAGGGACCCAGCGAGTCCCAGCCGGGACACGCCTTGGCTGCGCCCTGTGAAGTCTGCCCTCAGTCCTTGGGAACCTTTGAGCTTCTCAGCCTGACAACTCTCCCCGATGTGGCCCGATGTGGCCCTGAGCGTCTTTATCTGCCAGCTCTCCGGCCTCTGCTGGCGTGCCTATACCAGTCCCGTGTCTGGTGCAGACCAGATCCCTTACTGCTGTTTGCATTTCATCCTCCACCTGGAATGTTCTTCCCTGCCCTGCATACCTGATAAGGCCTGAGTCATCCTTCAAAACCGCTCGTCTGCTGCCTCCCTGTGAAGCCCTACCTGGCCGCGAGTCAGGCGCCGTGGGCTGCCAGCTACAAATCCACTCCTTGCCAAAGGAGTCTGCTGTTGCCCAAGTGTTCAACCCTCAGGAGGGTGACCCTTCCCCTGCTCAAGGATGAACCCCAACTAGGCCAGGCCCAACACTGAGCTGTCCTCCCACTGGCATGAGACCAGTACTGGCGTGCGTCTCCGGTCATTGCCCTCAGCCCCCTGGGCTTATAGTCAGGGGCGGTGAGCTCTCACAAAGGGACTCCCACAGGGACGGTGGACAGTTCTGCCTGGCGATGTCAGAGCAGAACAAGGCCATGGGTCAAGTCGGTGCCGAGAGTTGAAAGAAGTCACCTGCTCCCATCCGGTTTTGTCAGAGCTGTTTTCATTACAGTTGGCCTAGTAGGCACCATTTCGTGGGGAGTCCTGGGGGTGGAGGGCAGGGAGCCTTTTCAGAAGGCCAGAAAGGACTGGCTTGGGCATGGTGGGTGGACGGCAGCCCACTCTGTCCCTGAAATCTGCGGTTGTGCTTGCTGCTCACCTGGGAGTGTTTGTGAACATCTGCTCTTTGCTCGGCACCAAGTGTTCAAAAGTGGAGGCCTGCAGATGGTGTAGTGGTTAGGCCGCTAGACTCTAGGGTGGTCGACTGTGGTTTGAGACTCAGACCCTGCAGCTTGAAACTCATGTGGGGTGCACGTGCGTGCATGCCCAAAATCCCAAGAGGAGAGTGAAGGTGAAGGGGCTGTGGCATGGCCATCTTCCCAGGGGTGATTTCTAGTTTTCTGTCTCTCTGTCTCTTCAGTGAGTGAACATGCCCTATAGCAAAAATATCTCAAAAAAAAAAAAAAAAACAAGAAAAGAAAAAAAGAAAAAAGAAAGAAAACCTGAAAGTGAGTTAAATGAAGCCTCTCCCTGCTCACAGCTCTTCAGGGGGAGACTCAGAAACAGACGAGGTGTGTTCTAGGCAGTAATTCCGTGCGCAGGGAGAATCCCCGCTGCTAACGAGCGCTGCTCTGGAGAGTTTAAGAAGGAAGGGAACTTCCGAAAGGCTGTCGGGTGGCTCCCAGGACCCAGTGTGGCGTGAAGATATGCCTCGATTGTGCCTGGACAGCCTTGGGCTTGTCGCCAGCCGGCACGGCCATGGGAGAGCGTGAAGCCAGAGCCGAGGCAACGGAAAGCCTTGGCCTGTGGATGGCGAGGGCCTCCACGTGGACGTGGCCTCGGTGGGGACTGAGACGGCAGGAATGACCGTGGCACCTTTCATCATGGAGCGGGCGAGGCCGCGCCGGAAACCTGGGGAGAAGAGCCTTCCCTGGACAATAAGGTGGCAAACCCAGATCTTATGCAGGACTAGCGAGACTTCAGTATGGAACTGGCTCAAATCCGAGTAAGCGTGAACAAATGGGGAATCGGAACCAAGGAGCAGGTGGGGGTCCGTGGGAGAAAAATCTCGAAGAGGAAACGTCACAAGTATGGGGGCCTCTGGGTAACTGACCTAAGAGGATTCTTGCCTCAAACGGGCAGGGGGCAAGGGTGGTCAGACGTCGCCTGGGGGAGGCGGAGATGTCGGCACCCAGTGTGGTCAGGACTGGAGGAGGGGAGCGCTTGCCCCCGGCTTGGGCTTCTTGCTCAGGGCGGGTCTTCCGAGGAAGTGCTCAGATGAACCTGGGGAAGAGCTGGGAGCCTGACTTAACTTCGGTCAAGCAAAGACTCTATCTCTACTCCCTCATTTTTCTCTTTTGTTGAAATCAAACCAAGTAGATCTCAAATTATCTTTAAAAACACGCATGTGTATATAAAAAAATTCCAAGCAGCAATTGCAAAAGTATCTTTGGCATGTGTCTGTTTTATCGGAAGGGCTCAAAATGTTTTCTGTCAAAATGATTCGGAGGTGCCAAGGACACTGCTGGGGACCCAGCCAGGTCCCCTTCCTTCCTCAGCTGGCATGAGCGTCACCCGCTGTGTGACACCCAGCTGGAGCCACCTTGCTGGGACACAGGACCCCGCAGCCCCTCCCTCCTGCTCTAGCACCGACCTCGGGGAGAGCACGTCTCCTCTAATCTGAGAAGACCTCCAGCTTCCGTTATCCCCGCATTCTTTCCAGGCCCGGGCGGGTCCCCCATTCTGCTCCCTCGAGGGCAACGCGTGAACTAAACAGTCCCTTTCTGGGCAGAGTGGACATGATGGCATTTCCCAAGCATCTCCTTGGCTGCGGCTCTTCTCGAATGCGGTGGCTGGGAATGTGGTCGGGCGGAGTGTGGCCGAGCGCACCCTCAGCCCCTCTCTCTGCCGGGCCGTGACAGAAAGCAGCCATTGCTGCCGGTGGCTCAGCAGGGACGGCAAGTCCTGGACAGGACCTGGGTGAGCAAGGAGGAAGGCCCACCCCACTGGCCGTTGCTGTTGCCGTCGGGCTGTGGAACCGCTGGGTGCTCGGCGCTGCTGGGTGCTCGGCCTGGCGGTTGTGGAAGCCCGACGCTCAGGGTGATGGTATTCGGAGATGGGACCTTTGGGAGGCCACTGGGAAGAGCTGAGCTCGTGAGGTGGCGCACTTGGGATGGGATTACTAAGAAGAGGGGGTGCAGAGCCAGCTTGCCCTCTCCCCACGCGCAGAAGCAAGGCCGCGTGCGGACTCCTGAGAAAGCAGCCAGGAGAGCCCTCGCCAGCCGTGCACCGGACCCTGGCTTGGACTTCCCAGCACGTGCTCCGTGAGAGGACACCTGTGGCTGAAGCCGTGTACCTGTGCTGTTTTGTCATGGCAGCCTGAGCCGAATAGGGCATGTCCCCACACAACCACACAGCCCAGCAGGAGGGTCAAGCCCCCGTTCTGCTCTGCAGCAGATGGCAGCCTGCAGAGTAGCTGCACTGCCAGGGGTGGAGTTTGGGCACCACTGCTGGTGGGTTACAAACAGCCCCTAAATCTCAGACCTCTTCTCATGCAGAGATGGGGTCTCTGTCTCCGTCCCTTGCAGCTGGCTCCAAATGTCTTTGGCCAATCAGGTGTGGGGAAGCGATGCCAGGTGGCTCTTGAGGCTACCCCATGGGACACCATGGCACCATGTAGAGTGTCCTGCTGCCCCAAGACCCTCATGTCGGAGAGGCACGCATGAGTGCCAGCCACCTGGTCACCATGAGTGAAGCAGCCAGGTGACTCCAGGCCCCTGTCCTAATGTCACCCCAGTCCTCAGGTCTTCCTGGCAGGGTACGAGCTGGAGCAGACAAGCCCCCACCCTGTGTCCTGGCTGAATCCCTGAGCTGGCCTGGGGGCGTCACAGTGGTGGCGTTACACCACAGCTCCAGGTGGTTTGAATGCTGCAGCTGGAACTGGGACCCTGCCTGTATTAAAGGGGAAGGAAACAGGGAAAGCAAGGGACCAGGCCAGTCACTGGGCCAGCAGAGCAGAGCGAGTCCTCCTGCCACCTGTGAGCTCATGCTCACGCTGCCCCCCTTCATCTCTTGCTCCTGGGTGTGCCCTTCCCCTCGGGGCCGCCCCTTGGAGGCTAACAACTGCAGGGGTTCGGAGATGGTATCCCCAGGTCAGGCTCCAGGAGGGACCATTGAAGGGCCGGGACATCTCACTTTGGCAGAAGTCTTAGGGAGGTAGTGGGTCTTCAGATACCCAAAGCGATTCTGGAGAACAGACATGCCCCTAGATGCCAGAGTTGGGGCGCGACAGGCAGGTCTTGGCCCAGGGGAGAACAAACTACTGATCGTACTTAGGAGCCGTCCAAGGAGGCAGTGGGTCCCCATCTTTGGAGGCCTGAGAACACCATGTACGCCCAGCACGCCGGTGATCCCCCGGGCAGATGCCGCGAGCGGCAGGCGGGAGGAGGCCGGGACAGCTTTTGAAGGCCCCTCCAACTCCATGATGCGAGACTTAGCTGCGAGTCGGCAAGTGACTAGAAATGTCATTTACAAGTCCCCCGGGTGACAGTGGGCATAACTCACCCAGACGCTTCCCGGGGGACGTGCCCACCGGTGTGCTCAGGCTTGGTGGCTCCCAAAGCTGATAGTAAAAATTGAATTTGTTCTACCCTGATTGGCGCCCACAGCCCAACACTGCTCTGCATGAACGCATCTTTATTACTCTCTCAGCCGCCATTCTGCTTGGGGTCGGAGTCGATGGGGCTTGGTGGGGCTGCCCCATGCTGGGGGTTCATCTTGGAAGAAGGGCAGCTGACTGAGCCAGACCAGTGCCTGGAAACATGAGCCTGCCCGGGGCCGGCCTTTGACTGGGAGCTACTCTGTTAATAGCACGGCCAGAGAAGCACGGTGTGTCCTACGGCTAAGGGCCCCCAGGGCCTGCCCACTGGCTGCCTGACAGACGCCATGGCGGGCCACCCTCCCACGGGCTGCCTGACAGACGCCATGGCGGGCCACCCTATCCCGGTCCCCCCAGAGACCACTGCGGTATGGTGGGGGCAGGGCCGGGTATCTGCAAAACTGTGAGTAGTCAAGCTTAGGAGGTTCTGGGGAGGAGGGGGAATGACCCACACACCCCTGAGGGCCCCTTCACGCCCAGGTGTTCGGCTAGAGTTTGCTAAGGCTGGCTCCTGGGAACCCTGGAGGAGGCGGAGGGAGGAACCCCAGGCTCATTCACCCTCCGGGGTGGAAGCACTGGGAACTGGGAGGCAGAAGCTGAATGGCTGGCTGTGGCCCCCACCCCACCCCACCCTCCCCACCCCGGCCAAGGCCGAGCAAGCAGGTCCCGCAGCTCTGGCTCCTGGGCCTTTGTTCATTCTTCTTGGTCTTCAGGGGTCGCTGCCCACTAGGCTCAGCAGGGCGTTCTTGAAGTCACCGCTGGTGTCCCCCTGAGGGCAGGAGGCACGGAGGGTTAGAAGGGGGTGTTTGCTGGCCAGTCCCTCTGGGTCCCCATGGCGCAGGCGCCACCCTGTCCCCTCTCCCTTGGTCTTCCGTGTTAGACCAT